TTTGTCTGGATTTAACTTCAATCTGTTTTTCCTCATCCAATCCATTATTTAATAATCCATTATTTAATAAATAATAATTTTCCAATCCATTATTTAATAAATAATAATTTTCCTCATCCAATCCATTATTTAATAATCCAATCCTGGATTATTTCTGCAGCCTGGGAGAAGAAATTAGCCAGTTACTCTGAACTGCCATGGTAATCAATTGGCTTACCTGGTTAAACTGGCTTACATGGTAAACCAGTGATTCCCAAAGTCTGGTCTTCCAGATGTTTTGGACTTCAGCTCCCAGAAGCCTCAGCCATCTTGGCCAATGGTCTGAAATTCTGGGAGCTGAAATTCAAAACACCTAGAAGGCCAGAGTTTGGGAATCACTACTGTAAACCATAACATAAGACATCTGCATGTGGAATCATGCTATGCTACATGCCAGAGGCTGTCCCCTCTCCCAAGGACTCACTGTGATAACTTGTCCCACAACCATCTCATTCTTCTGAAACATCACATTCTTCATTCATCCTAGAGAAGCATCTGGCTTTGTTCCTACTTTTCCAATCTCCTCCATTCTCCATCAACAATGGAGTGGCTAGGTGGCCTATCACAGTGCCGTGGTGAGTCCAGAGGATCTCTGCAATTACTTTTAAAAAAGAAGACATATATAGGCATACGGTGGATTAACACTTGTGTTTGTCATTAACAGGATGCTAGCAGCTTGATTACAAAGACTTGGGGAAGGTCATATATAGCAGGGAGGAGGAGGAGGAGGAGGAATCATGGTCTGAGGCCTCGTAATGCTGCAACTTGATAAGTAGATGTAGGGCTGCTGAGTGCATTGATGGGAACTCCATCTATGTTGCTTTGATTTGTACAATGGAAGAAAGGTGGGCTACATACCTACTTTATAATGAATAAAAATAAAGTGATGGTATCTGACGTATGTGATGCAAGATGTCAAGGAATGCATATGTGCTTTTCCTAGTAATTTGGGAGGCTCCAAATAGTTGGGGATTTTGCACTAACATTTTTGGCTGGATTTCTCATGTCTTGACTTTAGGAGAAGAGTGGGGAATATCTGGCTCTCTACTTGGCAGCTCACCATTTAGATGTTGCTGGACCAAAATCCCACCTAACCAACATAATCAGTTATAAGGGATGATCATCTGGTGGGATGCAAGTTCCGTACACTTACTGCTTTCCAACAAACTGATTACTTTCCTCTTTTCTTTTGGTCAGAAAATGCTGCGTCTTCCATGTAATACCTTGCCTGGGCCCTAACAAACTGAACTGTGACCTGTGAAGGATACTAGGTGATCTTAAAATAGGTCCCAGCATAGCAGAAAGTAAGTACCACCAGCATGTGAGATTTACAGCAACAGCTGAAAACTTGGCTGAGGGTTGGCAGTTTATATTGAAGCAAAACGATGGTTTTGCTGGAGCTGGATCCATCAGAAAGATACTACATAGCTCAAACAGGATAAAGATAAGTTACTTCCTCACTACAGCACACTTATGCAATGACTGAGTGAAACAATGTGCTGATAACTATTTCCTACTGATTTTTTTTGTGTTTATCTGATGACATAAGAGTAGTAAAACAAACAAAATTCAAACCTTTGTATAAATAAAAATAAAGTTTTTTCTTCCTGTTTGTTACTGTATTACATGAAAATGGATGAATAAATTTCCAGCAAATTTGGAAGGTATATTTAGGATGGTCTGACTTAAAACCTAGGTTATGCAGGATATGCAGATTCCACTTGGAGGGGCTCTTTTGGGAGTCAGGACACTCCTCTAATTCCTCAAAAATGGCTGGACACAAAGACACCATGGTGTGATGTTTGAGTCTTGGAATAGGACTCTGAGGGCTCATTCCCACTTACATTTAAACCAGTTTGCAATTCGCTTTTGCTCTGGGTTGGTGAATCGATTCCATTCAATGTGTCGTTCCCACTATGGAAACAGGTCTTTTCTTTATTCGCTTCTTTTTTGGCACGTCTGTCATTCCCTCTAG